TGTACTTTGCCCCTCACGCAAGTGAGGCGGTGTCCTTTGACATTCTGGACACCAAATTCGACATGATCTTGGGCATGTCATGGCTGCGAAGCAAGAATCACCCGGTGAACTTCTTCAACAGCACCATTCACGTTCGTGACCGGAACGGAGTATTAGTTTCATGCACGGTGCCTCTTCCTCATCCTTCGATCAGCTGCCACGTGGTATCCGCCGCAAGCATGCGAGCTTCCATTATCAGAGACGACATTGAGGAGATGGGGGTGTGTTTTCTCCATGCCCTCCCGCCACATGATGCTTCATCGATGGACTCACCTTCGGATCCACGCATCATCGAACTTCCCGACGCCTATAGCGACGTGTTCGAAGGCCCACATGGAGTAGTACTGGATCGACCCATCCGCCACAAGATCATCCTCGAGGACGAGGCCGTACCTCTGTGCGGTTGCATCTACCGAATGAGCGAGGAAGAGTTAAGTGTGCTTCGGGCACAACTCGACGACCTCCTAGGGAAAGGCTGGATTCGGCCTAGCTCATCGCCATACGGTGCTCCTGTTCTCTTCGTCCGGAAGAAGAACAAGGATTTGCGGTTGTGCATCGATTATCGCAAGCTTAACGCGCAGACAATCAGGAACGCCGGCCCTCTCCCACGCGTCGACGTCCTTCTCGAGCGATTGGGCGGCGCCCARTTCTTCTCTAAGTTGGATCTCAAGTCAGAGTACCACCAACTCGAGATTCGCAAGGAGGATCGCTACAAGACCGCGTTCAAGACTCGGTATGGGCATTTCGAATGGCTGGTCATGCCATTTGGCCTAACGAATGCCCCAGCCACTTTCCAAGCGGCTATGACGACGGAGTTCCGACACATCCTGGATCGTTTTGTAGTTATATACCATGACCACATTCTGGTTTACAGCCGGAGTCTGGACGAGCATGTAGAACACCTGCGCACCGTTTTGGAGCGGCTACGACAGACCAAGTACAAAGCAAACCGCGATAAGTGCGAGTTCGCACAGCAGGAGATGGAGTACTTGGGACACAATGTAACGCCGTAAGGCATCCGTCCGCTTGCGGACAAGATCGAGGCCCTACGAGTATGGCCCGAGCCCACCAACACCACGGACGTTCGTTCATTCATGGGGTTGGCGGGCTACTATCAGCGATTCATCACCGGATACTCCAGGATTGCTGCACCTATGACGAGGTTACAGTCGCCAAAGGTGCCATTCGTATTCAATGACGACGCACGCCGGTCATTCCAAGCACTTAAGACGACTATGCTCATGGCACCCGTCCTTAGCATTTATGACCCCATCCTACCGATATGAGTGACTACGGATGCTTCCGGCTATGGCATTGGGGCAGTCTTGGAACAGCACGACGGCGACGACTGGCACCCTGTGGAGTATTTCAGCCACAAAGTGCCTCCCATCAGCTAGCTTGATGATGCCAGGAAAAAGGAGCTACTCGCATTCGGGATGACTCTCAAACGTTGGCGGCACTTCCTCCTTGGGCGTCGTAGGTTCACATGGATCACACACAACAATCCACTGACCTTCTACAAGACGCAGGACACGGTGAGCAGCACGATCGGACGATGGATGTACTTCATCAACCAATTTGACTTCACACCAAAGCATGTCCCTGGCCTCTCCAATCGCGCAGCAGATGCACTCTCGCGAAGACCTGATCTTTGCGCTATGACACATCATGCCTTCGCATTCGACGAGGAGCTTCAACGATACTTTATCCGGGCATATCAGTCTGATCCGGACTTCGGCACGCTCTATGCACAGCTATCTTCGGATCACCCGCCGACCAGCCATTACCGCATGGCCGACGGGTACTTGCTCCTCCACTCGAGAGGCAAGRACTTACTATGTGTCCCACRYGACCGTCGTCTTCGGACTCGCCTCCTCGGCGAGTACCATGATTCACGACTCGCCGGCCATTTCGGAGTCAAYCGCACTATTGCACGACTTCGACARCGATTCCGATGGCCCGACCTCATTACYMATGTCACTCGGTATTGCGACTCTTGCGAAGTTTGCCSACGCAKCAAGCCCCGCAACYGCAATCCCTACGRCGRGTTACACCCGATGCCTATCCCACGGGAACCCGGTCTCTCCATTGCCATGGACGTCACCGGTCCRTTTCCTCGCGACCGGCTCRGGCACGACGRCATCCTCATGGTTGTGGACCRATTGAGTAAGTACGYGCGTTTTCTYYCTTGCAAGTACTACTCCACGGCTCCCGAGCTGGCACGCCTYCTGCACACTGGTTGGATTTGTGGCCACGGTGTACCAGAAGACATTGTCAGCGACCGCGACACTCGTTTCATGTCGGCGTTTTGGACTGCTCTCATGCAGGAGTCCGGCACCACAATGAAACCAAGTTCAGCGACACCCTCAGACAGACGGGCAGACGGAGCGGGCACATCAGACCGCTCAAATGATGCTTCGTACTCTCAGCCGTCTGGACCACAAAGATTGGGTTGACCGCCTCCCCGACATCGAGTTCGCCTACAACACATCGGTGCATCCGGCGATCGCCGTGACTCCATTCGAGTTGCACCATGGTCGACGGAAAGGCCGGATCTTCGCCGACCTTCTCCTCCCTCGACCAGCCGGCATTGACGCTGCCTGCTCTCCCTCTTCCGTACGGAAGTACAGGGAATTGCTGACTCAAGCCCGCACAAATACGCAAAAGGCTCAAGTCCGCATGCAGCAGCAAGCCAACAGGCGTCGCTTACAATGTCCCATCCGCGCCGGTGATCTGGTTTGGGTCTCCGCGGAAGAGTTTGCACTGGAACAGGATGTTTCACGCAAACTGCTTCCCAAGTGGTTTGGACCTTGGTCTGTGACAGCAGCCGCGGGCGACGAGCCCGATGGCCCTTCATTTGTGATCAACATTCCAGAGCATCTGACGATCCATCCGGTCTTCCACGCCTCGAAGCTGGCAACTTRCACGCCAGCCAAGAGCGACGACTTTCCGGRCCGACGATCGCAGGACCCTCCTTCTATGGATGGCCATCAGGAAGTTGACCKCGTMATCTCCGMTCGCAAGTACGGCAGCAAGCCGCGRCAGTATAARGTCACATTCAAAGCATGCAATCGCGACGACACTCGGTGGATATCAGGCGCAGATTTGAAAGCATCCGCACCGCTGATCTACGCGCATTATGAAAAGCGCAGGTTAGCTCATTCTGGGTCTTTTCAGACCCAGAGTTTTCAGCCTGAAACGGAGGGCCAATTTCAGGCCGTCATTGTTTTGACCTGCTCCTAAGACTCAGGCACGGAAACAGGGATGCGGAACAGGCCCAAAATAGCCTGTTCCTCACGTACTCGAGCAGGAGCTGCAGCTGCAGCCCCTGCCTCCCTTCGGCAGGCTCAAGCGGCACACCCGTAGTACATAGGAGGTTCCCATGCACATTTACGGGTAGGTAGTGTCAGTAGGCAGAGGTAGTCTTCAGGATTTGGCCACAGCACTCAGGAGGAGCGCTGCAGTAGTCTTCAGCGCTAGGCAGTAGTGGTAGCGCTAGCTGTAGTCTTCGGCGCTGGGCGCCATAGCTGTAGTTGTAGTCTTCAGCGCTGGGCGCTGGTAGGTAGTAGATCGTAGAGTGGGAGAGAGACTGGCGGAGGCCAGTGTTACTTACCTTTGGTGCCATCGCTCCAGCTCCATCTTCGTGGTACCTGCATCAAGGCGCCAACTTCACAGGTTAGTACTGGACACAGAGAGAGAGAGAGTTCTTCTTCTTCCTCTTCTAAGTCCACCTTCCCTTCTCACCCTCTCGCCACCTGACTTCTCAGACTACGACAGAGAGAGACAGAGTTGTGACTTGAGACTTGACGACATTGGATCCGACGAGGGACTATTTGGGCTTGTGCCGCAGTCTTGGTGTTGACGACATTCCCATCTTCCCCCTCCTCTTCGTCTATCCCCTTCCTCCTCGTCTGTGCATGTTCTGGGCTGGCGYTGTCTTCCTGTGTGAAGCGCCAGACCCATTCACACTATGAAACGATGATGATGATGTATGTTCAAGGCTGCATTACAACATTGATTGTTCGGATCACTGGTATCTAAGTCTTCCGCTGTGTTATCTTATACCTTGTATTGAAAGGTCGGTTCTTGTTCTGGTCTCCACCTATACGGTATGCAACACCTACCCCTTGTTACGACTTCACTCCAATCTCTAGTCACTAGGCCTGCCTTCGGCATCCCCCTCCTTAAGTAATCGAGTTTCCTATTTTGTTTTTTTTAAAATGGAATGATTAGTGCAAAATTCAAATTCAAAGAGAAATTCAAATCCAAAATGGAAACTCAATTTGGAATTCAATTTGGAATTCAATTTGGAATTCAATTTGGAATTCAATTTGGAATTCGGAATTCAATTTGGACCTCGATTCTGAGTTTATTAGTAAATTTTACGCCTTCGCTACGAACTAGACATTCTGGAGGGGAGATGTGATGTGAATCATGTGATGTATTGCTACGTCCGGGCATGGTCCCCGTTAATTCGTGGATAAAAAGAGAATGTTTACTCAAGTTTATAAAAGAGAAAGCCCCCTCATGGGAAAAATGGGGCCGACGACTGTGGAATTGGTAAAAATGAAGGTGACATCTGAATAGACGGTTTGGTCGGAAGGGTACTTACGATCCGCAGACTGAACCGGTAGCTGGAACTGGGACAGGCACAGGTTGGATAAACAGTACGGTTTTCGGGTAAAAAACAGCTGGTACCGAGTGGATGGGACCGAATAGAGGGAGTACGGTACCGGGACTGGGGTTTGGTTATTTTTAAGACGGTGCTTCGATATTTGGAAGAAGATGTTTCGAGAAGTCGGGTACCACCGGACCAGGGCTCGCTGAGGTCGTAGTTTTTTCTGACCGCGTAGACCGAACGACACAGTCAGTAAGTGAGTACTTAAACTTTCTTGGGTACTTCATTATCATCTCGAACTTTTCCCCCTGATGAGGCCGTACTGGCGGCGGCCGAAACTAGT